CAGGGCGCATTGTGAATACATTACATCAGGGCGCATTGTGAACCATTACATCAGGGCGCATTGTGAACCATCACAGCAGGGCGCATTGTGAACCATCACATCAGGGCGCATTGTGAACCATCACATCAGGGCGCATTGTGAAAACATTACATCAGGGCGCATTGTGAATACATTACATCAGGGCGCATTGTGAATACATTACATCAGGGCGCATTGTGAATACATCACATCAGGGCGCATTGTGAATACATTACATCAGGGCGCATTGTGAACCTTTACATCAGGGCGCATTGTGAATACATTACATCAGGGCGCATTGTGAACCGTCACATCAGGGCGCATTGTGAATACATTACATCAGGGCACATTGTGAACCGTCACATCAGGGCGCATTGTGAACCATCACAGCAGGGCGCATTGTGAACCGTCACATCAGGGCGCATTGTGAACCATCACAGCAGGGCGCATTGTGAATACATTACATCAGGGCGCATTGTGAACCATTACATCAGGGCGCATTGTGAACCATCACATCAGGGCGCATTGTGAATACATTACATCAGGGCGCATTGTGAATACATTACATCAGGGCGCATTGTGAATACATTACATCAGGGCGCATTGTGAATACATTACATCAGGGCGCATTGTGAACCATTACATCAGGGCGCATTGTGAACCATCACATCAGGGCGCATTGTGAATACATTACATCAGGCCGCATTGTGAATACATTACATCAGGGCGCATTGTGAATACATTACATCAGGGCGCATTGTGAACCATCACAGCAGGGCGCATTGTGAACCATCACATCAGGGCGCATTGTGAACCATCAAATCAGGGCGCATTGTGAACCATCACAGCAGGGCGCACTGTGAACCATCAAATCAGGGCGCATTGTGAACCATCACAGCAGGGCGCATTGTGAACCATCAAATCAGGGCGCATTGTGAACCATCACAGCAGGGTGCGTTGTGAACCATCACATCAGGGCGCATTGTGAACCATCACATCAGGGCGCATTGTGAACGCATTACATCAGGGCGCATTGTGAACCATTACATCAGGGCGCATTGTGAATACATTACATCAGGGTGTATTCTGAATGCATTACATCAGGGCGCATTGTGAATACATTACATCAGGGCGTATTCTGAATGCATTACATCAGGGCGCATTGTGAAACAAACATGGTTTCAGCAACAAGGCCAAGTCATGTGGCCCAGCCCGGAGGAGCCGCTGACAGCGCCGCACAGCCCCCCCACACACACACACACTTTCCTTCCCGCTCAGGAGGCGTTGCGGGCCCCTCTGGGTCCTGCCCGAGCCTGAGAGTGAAGCGGAACCTTCCCGGCGTCCAGTGACTCCCCATCCGAGAGGGGCGCTGCCGGGGAGCCCAGCGCTCTTAGTGCGATTTGCTGGCCGATGGAGACCGACCGCGAGAGCCGGCGCCCGCGGTCACCTCCCTCCATGAGGAAAGGGCTCGGGAGGGGAGGGGCGGACACCTGTCAGACCGAAACCAGAGCCCGGACTCACTTCCTCCTGCGCGGGGACATTCTCACACCCCACGGTCCGCGGGGAGCGCTGCGGCCAGTTGGGGGCGGGGGCTGCTTGCATCCTGCTGTGAGGCCTCAGGGCGGGGCAGGAGGCCAGGCTGGCGGGGGCTGGGGGGGGGGGGGGGGGGCTGGAGGCCAGGCTGGCGGGGTGCTTGGTGATAGATCCTCCCTTCCCCCAACTGATGGGCGGAGTATGACGTAACCTGCAGCCTGGAAATACTAACCAGGCACCTTATATGGACCATACATTGATCCGCCAAATTCCCTAAGCCTTGTCCTATATGGACCATGCAGTGAGCCACCAATCAGCGTGCGCCGAGTACACTAAGCCCCCACCCCTTCCCATCCCGCCCCTCAGAAGGCGTGCCCACCCTGCCCCTGCTGCTGTCCTCCCCTGCGACACAGCCCGGCAGGTGCTTCTCCTCTGATAAAGCCTGTAGTCCTGGTTTTCGGCCTCTGTCCTTTCAGTTGGAGCCGGGCGGAGCGGGGGAGGCTTGGAGCCAGCTCGCAGGCAGCACCACATTTCTGGAAATCTCTCCTATGGCAACAGGCGTGTTAGTGTGATGACCACAGAAAAATAAACAGGCTGTGGCTTAAGGTCACGCACAAGCTACTTTCATTTCCTCTGGTTCCGCCCCTTTTGCCTCCATCCATCTCTTCCTGGTTTGGGGGTTCACTGTCATCTTCCCCACCATCACTTCCCTGACCTCCACCTGCCTGGGCTCCCACACCGCTGGGCACGCTGGCTCCGCGGTCCTTGCTGCAGGCTCTCTCCCGGGACCCTCGTCTCCGCGGTTCCCTTGGTTCTTCTGGGTCTTCTAGCCCCAGGCCGTCTCCAGGGCTCCCTCTCAGCCTCCCCCTCCCCCTTTTTTACTCGGCAGGACCCTTCCTAGCTCTTCTCCTCTTTTTACTGCAGACGCAACAGTAAACGTTTTCATTAAATGATTTTGATCTCTTTTGCATTTGTAGTTTAGAGGTTACTATATTTTGCTATTAAAATGAACAAGTAGAATATTTACTTAAAACTTTTGGTGTGAATTTGATCACAGATTCCCATGATCTGTGAAAAGACCTAAATTTCTTGCCTGGCTGACATGGCTCGGTGGTTTAGTGTTGACCTATGAACCAGGGGGTCACAGTTCAATTCCAGGTCTTGCAGGCTCCATCCCTAGGGTGGGCGTGCAGGAGGCAGCCAATCAATGACTCTCTCATCATTGATGTTTCTACCTCTCTCTCCTTTCCACTCTGAAATCAGTAAAAAAATTATTTTTTTTTTAAAGAGAGAAATGAGACCTATGTCTCCAACCCTGGAAGCTGAGTGGCCCCCATGACTGTCCAGCTGGCAGTGCAGTGGTCACAGTGGCCTGTGGGCAAGTCCAAGCCTCTCACGTAAAACAAAATAAAATCTCCCTCTAGTCTAGGAGGTTCCCCGCGTGTCTCTCAGGCTCTGATTGTAGCAGCGGTTTCAGAATCTGACATATTAGGAAGAAAAGGGATTGACTGGGCAGGAACTGGAGGCAGGCCAGCCGACCCACTGCTGTGACCACTGAGACCCGCCGTCCCAGCGGAGACACACGGCCACGCGTGGGTCATGTGGCTGCTCTTTGGCTGCCATTACAAAGCACCACAGGTGACGTAGTTGAGACAACAGACCTTTATTTCCTCACAGTTCTGGGGCTGGAAGCGTGAGGCCCAGCTGTTGTCAGGGCTGGTTTCCCCTGAGGCCTCCCTCCTGCGTAGAGGCTGTTGTCTTCTCCGTGTCCTCACATGTCGGCCCTGGGCATGTCTGTCCTGATGTCTTCCTGTGGACACCAGTCTTATCGGATGAGGGTCCACCTTAATGTCCTCATTTTAGCGTAATTACCCCCCGAAATGCCCCATCTCCAAATACAGTCACATGCTGAGCTACTGAGGGTTAGTTAGGGCTTCAACGTGTAAATTTGGGGAAAACACAGTTTAGCCCATCACACTGGCTCGAGGTGGGAATAGGGGCGTGTGGCCCCTTGGGTTTCTGTAGGGGAAGCAATAACCACTTTCTATTAGGCTACTCAAGGTCGGGGCTCCCCCAGAGAGAATGAGATGCTGGTAAGAAAGGGGGGCTCCCGGTCACCGAGATGCTTAAAGGACTAGTGGTTCACGAGGACACTCTTGTTTCCACTCGGGCTTCTGTCCCCCACCCCCGGCCCCTGGAATTGCTCAGCGAATACCCTCCGAGCCTCCCAGGGCCGCGCTGGGCTGGGCTGTGCTGCAGCCCTTCGCACTGTGACTTCCCTCCCTGAAGAGGGGGCCTCTGGGCTCCCGCTTTGTTTTTCTCGTAGCCCCTCCTCCCGATCTGCTCTGTCAGCAACTCGAGGGCCAAGTTTCTGTCACGGCCCTCCCGTCCTCTCCTGGTTCCCCTTTTCCGATGCTCTCTAGTCAGATTCTCATCCATGGTCACCCTGACCTAGAGCCTCTGGTGGGCCTCACAGGGAGCCCCTTGACTTACCGGGAAAAGGGGGTACATTTTCCTTTGTTCTTAGGAGAGGACCTAAAGCTTTTATCAAAAGTTTAAAACATCCACTTGTCTGCCCTTTGTCCAGACCTGCCCTCTGAGCTCCAGGGCCACGTGTCCCCTGCCTGCCTGACATCTCGCCTGAAATCACCACCGCCACCTGCACCCCATCACTCGCCCCTCCCAGCCTGCTCCTCCTCCCCATCTCCAAGTCCATGAAACGGACGCCATCCTCCTGATCACCCGCATCCAAGCTGAGCCTGGCCCAGACCCCTCCGCCACCCCTCCCGGCCCATTGCTCACCCACGTCCTGCCCACCCCACCTGCTTCCACTCCTCCAGCGCCGGCCACGTCCCTGAACGACAGCCCTGCTCTTGCCTGGGCTGTTCAAGTAACTCCACGCCCGGTTCCCCCACGGCCAGGGGTTCTTTTCACAGACCATGGGAACCTGTGGTCAAATTCACACCGAAAGTTAGGAGCCCCTGTGGGTCACCACCCAGGGCATGGGCATTTTTAATTTGAAAGAAAATGTCGATGGAGTTAATATGGGGTGAGGGACACTTGTCGGGTCTGAAGATTGAAATGCCTGCTCTCTGTGCGTAGGCAGTGGACAGGAGGGAGAAGGGCTGAGATGGAGATAGAGACCCTCAGGGAGCACCCTCCCTCTTCCCAGTCTTGTCCCCGGGTCCAGCTACCCCCTTTTTGGCGCAGGTGGCCCCGGCCCCCCTGGGTGGGGCTAATGCACTGAGATTGCTGAGGGTGCCCCACGGACTATCACCTGGTCTCAGCACAGACCCACGCGGCGCAAAGGGACACGCCCACCAGCTTCTCCCCCAGGCTCTGCCCCCAGCCCCCACCCTGAGCTCTCTTGTCCAAATTGCGATCAGGAGTCAATGATGCTCCCAGAAAAAGGAACCCGCTGAGTAGTGGGGTGCAGGGGGAGGCTGCTGACTTCCTCTCTCAAGCCAGCTAGGTCACTGTCAGCGCCGCGGGCACTCACTCTCACGGCCAGCATGTGGCAGCTGCTGCCACCCGCGGTCCTGCTGCTTCTGGGTAAGTCGGTTGCCGCTGAGGGAGACACTCAGGACGCCCTGGGACCAGCCCGGACAGGACCCTCCTCGCGTCAACAGGCAGCCCTAGACTTGGCTCGTAGGACAAACCGTTCGCAGGCTAGAGACAGGGAGGACGCCGGCTCATTCGGGCCCATCAGGAGGTGAAGGGGCTGGATGCCTGCTCCGCCGTTTCCCCACCTGCAAGTTGAAGAGTAGGGACCAGACAGACGGTCCCTAAGGTCTGTCTCTTCCACGGTAACACCCTAGGGTTCCTCTCTAAGACTTTTAGTCTCTATTCTTCCGAGGGGACTTGTGTTGAGGTTGTTTCTAGGCTTTCGTTCAGGGAAACCAATCCGGATCATTAATTAGGGAGTTTGAACGGGGACCGAGGAGTAACGGGGTGCTTTTGAAAACAGGGATTTGGGTGGGCCATAGGGGCGGGGCAGGAGTCACAGACGTCGGAGACCAGAGTGTTGGCTGCGGGACAGCTGGCCACTGTCTGTATCCTGGCTCAGGCGCCTCGGGCCCAGGGGCAAGGCAGGCAGAGGCAGAGCTCAGCCCCTGCAGCCACCACTCCCTGCTGTGCTCAATTTTTGTTTCACTCTTTTCTCTGCAGCGTCAGCCAGCACCGGAGCTGGTGAGTCTGCTTCCAGGTGTCAGGCTGATCCCGTGAGGCCCTCGAGGACACAGTAGCCACGGGTGTGGCCACGCAGGTGGAGGGCCAGCGGGGACAATTGTCCCAACACGGTGGGGCTTGGCCCTACGCTCCTCTAACCAGTTTTCCTCAACATAAAGAGGCCAAAAGTGGGGCCAAGTGCCTCCAAGCCCAGATGCTCTAAGGCCGAGTCCCAGCTCCAAGACGGAGCTGCCAACTGTGGTTTGGCAGGGCAGGTCGGGAATGCAGGGCGGGGAACCCCCCACCTCCACCCCCCACCCCTGCCTCGCCCACATTCTCCTGTCTCCTCAGAAGGTGTTCAGAAGGCTGTGGTGTCCCTGCATCCGGAATGGGACAGGCTGCTCGAGAGGGACAATGTGACTCTGAGGTGCCAGGGGGCCCAGGCCGAGGGGAACAGTGCCACACGATGGTGGCACAATGGTCACCTCCTGCCAAACCGGACCTCCAGCTACTTCATCGAATCAGCCAGCGTGAACGACAGCGGGGAGTACATGTGCCAGACTAGCCTCTCCAATCTCAGCGACCCGGTGAAGCTCCAAGTCCGTGCCGGTGAGTGGGTGATGGGGACGAGGGGAGTCGCCAATAAAGGGTGACGCAAGAGGCGGGAGAGGCTGGGGCAGAGCCAGGTGATATTTGAGGGGTTAGAACTAAGATGCGATTATCCGTGACCCCGTGAGGTGTGTCAGCGTTGGGTCCTACCCCAGGTGGGCCGGGTGTCACACCTGGCAAGCAGACACAGGACTGCTGCCCAGGGCCGGGAGCACCACCCGCAGAGGACACACAGTAGTAGTCATTGCATGAAGTAAAGGATCTGTTCTCAGGACCGCCATCGCCTTCTCACCCTCAGGCCCACAAAGCCCTACACTGCCCACACCACCCCTAATGGCCGAGCGCCTTCTCTCTCTCCGTCAGCACCACACTCGGGCTCCCAGCATACAAGCTGGGACACACATATCTGGTGCGCCCTGCACAGCGGCTGTGGAGTGAAAGTGTGTGGTCGGTGGGGCTCAGGCACCAGAGGCAGGTGGGGAGCACTGAGGCGGGGACTCTCCTATGTCCCTGGAATTGCACCGCAGGCCTGTACCTGCCGAGTCCCCTTGCAAGCCTGACTTCAGCAAGGCTGCCCATGTGTGCAGTGGACACGGGCAGAGCGAGCCCATAGGGAGAGCCCATGTGAGCGGACCTGCCTCAGAGCTGGGCAGCTCTGGGTGGCTCCTCTGCCGCTGCCCGTCCTGGAGCTGACACTCACATACAGAGCTCCAGGAGTTATTCGCAGGCTGGGAGCAAAGTGCCACCTAAGACCAAATAAAATGGGGATTTGCCAACAGGAAGCAATAGAAAAGTCAAGTCTAAGAGTTGTCAGTTTGTCTTGAACTTGGCTCTAGAGACTGGCTTCAGAAGGCCAGTCAGTGAGGACTGTGTTAAGCTGCAACCATGACTGCTAACCTCTCCAGGTGGGTCCCGGTCTCCCTTGGGGACCCATCTCCCTCCTCTCCTCTGAGGGCCGTTCCTCTTCGTCACTTCCCTCTGGCGGCCCCTCTGCTCCGGCTCACAGTACCAGCTGTGCAGCACTCACCACTCTCGACTGGGATGTTTCTGAGTCTACACTACAGGTTCTTTGGGGTTAGGGTCACGGGTCCTGGTCATCTGGGTTTGCACATCACAGGTACATACTTGATAAAATGTTTGTCAAGTGAACACACGAGTCCAGGACAGGACAAACAGGAACAAGTGTGTCTCCCAAAAGTCACCAGACCACATGCACATGCACATAATCTTACAACCAGCATGTTATGTTACTAACGCTTCATCTCTGCTCACGCGGTAAGTGGGTGTACAGGATGTGGCCTCTTCTGCTAAGTGGTCTTTATTGATAAATAATGAAGGTTACCTTCTATTGGGCAAATATTCCAGGTAGAGAATTTTTATGTTCTACCAATTTTGTTTAACATAAGGTCGCATATTCTTTAAATTATAATTAGTTTTATTGTTTTGTTCTTCTCACAAAAGCCATTTGGGTTTTCATAAATGTGTGAAAGTAAAAGGGAGAAACCGTGGCAATATTTGAAAACGAAGTGTGGTCTTCCTTCCTGTTTTCTGTGGGTGCATCCTTTTTGCATTCTCTTTTTAGCCTAACATTGTCTCATGGATGTTTCTCATGTCATTTTAAATATATTTGTTTTGATTTCAGAGAGAGGAAGGGAGAGGGAGAGAGACAGACACATTAATGATGAGAGAGAATCATTGCTCAGCTGCCTCCTACACCCCCCCCCCCCACACACACACACACACACACTGGGGATCAAGCCCGAAACCTGGACATGTGCCCTGACTTGGAATTGCACCATGACCTCCTGGTTCATACATGGACGCTCAACCACGGAGCTACACCGACAGGCTCTCGTGTCATTTTAGAGATTGTCTGCAATTCACCTTTAATGGTCTAGCTGCGCCTCTGGCCCTGAGTCCACGTTCTATCAGCGTGGAATCTGGTTACTGGGCGTGGCCGCTAAGAACAGTGTCCTGGTGACTAGGAGTTTCTCTCCTGAAGGCTGGGCTCACAGGCCCGGTGGCCCCTCAGAAACTCCCAGATCCCACCGCACCCCCACCCCTGCCTCCCTCTCCTCCTGCCCGTTAGTCCTTCAGGGCACCTGCAGCCACTCCTGGGCCCACCAGTGGCCTTGCCCTGTTGCTGCCCGAGTCTCAATACTCCTGCAGCCTCCTTCCCTCTGAAGACGGCCTTTCCCCTAATGCGGCAAAGCGCCCTGTCCAGGGGCTGTTGACGGGGTGATCTGGGCTGTGCCGGGCCCCTGTCCCCTGCCTTCCAACCCCAGGCAGCCCCGCCCGGGCAGGTGGCTTCCCGCCTGCCTCTGGCTTCCCCTGGCCCGAGCCTCTGTGCTGAGTCCAACCCTCGCCCGTTAGACAGAGGCCTCGGCGTGGCCCCGAGCTGATGGGAAGGGCTGCCGGCTGCCTCCCGCCTGCGGGATCTGGGGCGCGTGTCCCCCCACCCGCGCTTGGCGCTGACGCCTGTCCTGGGCCGACGGTCTGTCTTCCAGCCTGGCTGCTGCTGCAGGCCCCACGGTGGAAGCTGCGGGAGGGGGACCCCCTGGTGCTGCGGTGCCACACCTGGAAGAACAAGCAAGTGTACAACGTCCAGTACTTCCAGGACGGCAGAGGCCGGAAGTTCTCCTACAACAACACCGCCTTCCACGTCCCCAGGGCGTCCCGCAAGCACAGCGGCTCCTACTTCTGCCGGGGCCTCATCGGGAAGCTGAACGTGTCCTCCGAGGCGGTGGTCGTCCTGGTGGAAGGTGAGGGCTGCAGGCGCACGGCCGGACCTGGGCGCTGCTAGGCCACTGAGTCTCTCTGAACCCCAATTTCTGTAACCAAGACAACTGACGAGTGTGGGGCACCGTCCTTGGGCGGGACCCTGTGCTGAGGGCGTCGGCACCAGCGCCCCCTGCTGACCACGGACCCCAACAGCGGGTGAGCTGGGCAGCGCTGACTGCGGCAGGAGGAGCTGGCGCGGGGGGGGGGGGGGGGGGGGGGGGCACCTGTCCTCAGGTCACAGCAAAGGGCGAAGCCAGTGGATGCAGCCGCTCGATCGTGTGAGCGTTGTTCCCGCACCGTCTCAGGTTGGCGTGGGCCCAGGACGGAGCAGAGCTCCCCCTCCGCCAGAGCCCCGGGCGCGCACACACACACACACACACACACACACACACGTGTGCGCGTGCACACAGCTCCTGGACTTCCTGGTGCCACAGAACGTCCACCTGGAACCAGACCGAGACCACGTAGCAAAGCGGAGATAGATCCGCACCTGATGAGACTGTAACACAGCAAAGCCATCATTTGTATAAAAATAATCTCATTGCGTTTAAATTTAAAGTAAAAAACACTCTCAACTGGTGAGGGAAAGTAAAGACAAATAATGAAGCAACTGGGTCAGAATGCTAGCACTTAGTAAAGTAGGAAAAGACTATGAGAGAGTTCTTTGTATGATTCTGGTAACGTTTCGTCAGTTTGAAATTAAATCAAAATAAGTATAGCCTGGTCACCGTGGCCCAGTGGGTGAGCATCAGCTATGAACCAGGAGGTCATGGTTGATTCCTGGTCGGAGCACACCCCCGAGTGCGGGCTCGATCCCTGATCATGCAGGAGGCAGCTGATCAATGATTCTCTCTCATCACTGATGTTTCTATCTCTCTCGCCTCTCCCTTTCTCTCTGAGATTTTATATACTATAATATATATATAATTTCTATATTTTAAATCCAGTAAAATGTTTCCAGTCTATAGACAGCGGCAAGAAATGAGTCTAAAGCTTGTCATCAGGGGCTCAGGGGTGAGAGCCCGGGCCCCATCCCACTCCCTTTGGCCGATTAGTTCCTGCCGATAAGGAGCGAATGTCAATGGCTCGCTGTTTGTCAGATTTCCTTTAGCGACAAGGAGCAATGTGGGGGAGAGCAATGAGTGTAATTTTGAGACACTGAAATTAAGAAATAATGTTCTCACACCAGCTTAAACTTTGACAACTTTCACAAATCCACACCAAACCCAGCATCCTAATGTGCTTGGCCCTCCCAGTGGCGGCCTCAGCCCAGCCAGGCAGATGCCAGTGGGAGGAGCAAAAGCCGGTGATTCCAAATTTCTGCCTTAACAACAGCCATTTCTCCGCCCTCTGCCTCTCGCACAGCGCTGGCCATCTCATCCTCAGGGCACCTCGTCTTGCTCTGCCTGCTGCCGGGACTCCTGTTTGCCGTGGACACGGGGCTGTACTTCTCTGTGCGGAGAGGCCTTCGAAGCTTTTTGAGGAACAAGACAAATGACAGCGTCACTTGGAGCAAGAGCCTCCAGGACAAGCAGGAGCAATAAACACAGACCCTCTGACCTTCAAGCCTCAGAGGGAAGGGGGGAGGGGAGGGGGGAGGGAGACCAAAGGACTTGTGTGCATGCATATCAGCATAACCAGTGGACACGGTCAGTAGGGGTGAGGGCATGTGCTGGGGGACAGGAGCGGATGGAAAGAGGTCAATGGGGGGAAAAGAGACATATGAAATACTTTCAACAATAAAGAATTTAAATAAATAAAAAAAGCAGAGCCTCGGAGCCCTTGTGTTCACAGCTCCATCGTCCCCACACCGGCCCTGGCAGGTCAGCCTGGGCTGAGGGGCTTGCCCCCACTCTATTTTCTTGCTCTGCAATGGAAAGGAAGGGCCCAAGGTGTTTTTTATATTATTGTCATTTTTAGTTCTCAATCTGTTTTTTTAAATTTTGTTTTTAATTACAGTTGACACAGAATGCCATACTAGTTTCAGGTGTGCACATCATGATCCAGTGTTTCATGTCCTTTACGCAGCCATCTGGGCCGTGACCTTCAAGGGCCGACGTGGAGCCCTGGCCGTGGCATTGCCAGACAGTGCAGTCGCAGGGCTGCACAGCACCCGGCGCGGCAGAGCAGCACGGTCTCTTGGGCAGCGACCCTTGACGCATGAGCCTGTTTTTAAGTGACTGGGCCAGTGGGTAAGAGCATGGACGGCGAGTGCTGGCAGGCAGTGGTCCACATCCTGCTGCAGGACAGGTGGCGCCGGGCACCCCGAAACTCCTCCCGACAACAGGGGGACTGCTGGAGTCTGGGAGAGGCAGCAGAACGGGTGAAGGGGGGCTGAGAAAGAGCAGGCCGTTCAGGACCGACTAGAGGGTTGGGGAGCACAAAAGACTCGGTTGGAAAGTTGGGAGGAGGAATCCTGAGGAAGGGGAGTGTGGAAGGCCTCCTGCCTGTTTATCAGAACCCCCTTAGGGGAGTGCTGGAGGCTAAGACCAGCAGTAGTTAGCATATCAATACGATAGTCAGCTGGGCTCAAGGCAATTCCCTAACCTGATAACCCTTTTATTGTTAACCAAACTTTACCATTGATATGCCTGTAGGCATTCCTAAAGGGCAAATGTGTATTCAAGTGAATAAAAAGCTGAGGGGACCCAGTTTACCGGGAGCTTCTCCACTGGAGGGGAGCTTCCGCCTGGCCCCCATGCCTTCTAAATTCATATTTCTTGTCTAGTATTTTCACTGGTGTGCGGCCCCTCCTTTAGATCCTGAGCCCTCGCTGCAAATGGATGTGGATTCACAGGGGAGACTTAGGGGTGTATTGAAGGCGGGCCCCTAATTATCCCTTGACCTTTCCAAATAAGTCTGAGCACATGCAGACCCCCGGGTGATTACTGGAATCCTTACCCTTAACCCCTGGATGCCCTGCCTAGAGGACAATGTACACGTGTGTCCTTCTGAGAGTACTCACCCTGCTGATTGTACCTAAACATAAACATTCCAATAAAGGCCTAACGAGGCAGGAATAGAGGCTGCCCTGGCCACTAGATCCAGGGGCTCCTAGCCCTCTCCCCACAGTCAAACTGTGTCTGAGTCATCTGTTCATCAGCCCCGGCTACAGGACACCCCACCGGGACCATCTTCGTAGGAATCAGGGGCCGTGGAAAATGGGTGTCAGGGAGCCCCTTGTAAGGATTGGGATGGCCGTGCCTGTCAGGAGGAGCAGTGGTCCTGGGAAGAGAGCTGCGGGTGGACAGGGGAGGAAGCACACAGCCCACCCTGGGCCGCGGGGAGGAGAGCGGCACTGCTGTCCCCGACGAAGTTCTGTGAGCAGATGTCTGTGCTGAGAAAGGGCAACAAGAAAGTCAACCACAGCTCCCAGGAAGCCGGGACAGTGAGAATTAGAGAGAGGAAGGGCGGGGACTGTGAGCCAGGGGTCCTGCTTCACTAATTCAGGTCTAGCTTTGTCCACGTGGTTCATTCGACAAATGTTAGATAAACCCCACCGAGTTCAACTGTGGCCCTTTTGTTGCCGGGTAACCCCCTGGCTGCCTGTGGCTGCATCCAATCACGAAGGCAGGGTTGAATCATCCAAGGCGTTTATTGAGAAGGCCAGCCAACCAAGAAGGCAGGGCGCTTACAAGCATCCAAAACCTGCCTTACAGCAGGTGCAGGGGACGGGATTGCATAGGAAATGTGGGCTGGGTGGAGGTTGGGAACTGTGGACGAAAGGGGCCACATGCTGACCTGACAAGCTCAGGGGAGGCCTGCATGGCAGTTTTGCAGACTCAGAGACCTAAACTAACCACAAAGAATGGTCTGAAATTAAACTTTAACTAAAAGCAGTTATGGTGGGCAGTCACATCCTAGGCCAGTATCTTCACTGACAAGGCCAACCTTTACCTTAACTGGGCCTGTCTGTCTTTTTGCATCTATGATAACATGTCCTTGGGATGTCTTGGTAACTTGACTTCCCTTTTTATGGAGCCCCTGGGGCACAGCCAGGTGTGTGTGTGGGGGGGGGGGGGGCAGGACAGATACCACAGATTCTTTCATTTATCATGTTAACTGTTCCTGTACCCACCTAAGTGTGTGCCCTGCTGGGAGCCAGTCCATCCTTGCTGTTTCAAGGGACCTGGCATATATGGCATACTGTTCTTAATATGTTTGCTCACCTTCTTGGCACTATGTGTTTTAACCAAGGTCACCTCTCTGAGAAAGGTTGTTTCCCCAGGTAGGGATTTTCCCCTGAAGTTGGGGAGGGAATAAAACCCCTTAACTAAGTGACAGGCGGGTAATTAATCACTTTAACTACGAACAATCATGCTTAAGCTACATAATCTTTACTCCCTGGAATGGAGATAAGAAACGCCCTAACCTTTGGAATAGAGATTGATAGGATTGGAATCAACTGGTATAAATACAGATGTAAAAGACAACAGGACACAGAACCTAGACACAGAACCTAGAGACAGAACCTAGACACAGAACCTACACAGAACCTAGACACAGAACCTAGACACAGAACCTACACACAGAACCTAGAGACAGAACCTAGCGAGAGAACATGGCAAAAGATCCTGGACAGAACCTGGCTACAGAACTTGGTTGGAGAACCTAGACAGAACCTGGATGAAGAAACCCAGCTACAGAACCTGGCAACCGAACCTGGCTGGAGAGCCTAGCAAGAGAACATGGCTACAGAACCTGGCTGGAGAACCTGGCTGGAGAACCTAGCAAGAGAACATGGACACAGAACCTGGCTGGAGATCCTGACCAGAACTTGGCTAGAGATCCTGGCTAGGCTGCTGATCAACTGAACGCTGTCTCCGTGTCATTCCTTCTTCGCCGACGCCGTCCACACCTTTGGGGACCCCTGGACCTGCTGGGGTTGGACCCCAGCAGTGCCCATCATTTTACTTTTTATCCAATCCCAGGGGTTCCCCCCCCCCTTTGCTTTGTCCCTCCTCCTTAATCTATCACCAATGAATTTCATGTAACCCACCTATGTCCCTCCTTTGATTGCAAATGTAGAAATACAAATGTAACCCCGCCATTCTCCGGAGCACTATCTCAATTCGTTGAGGTTCTGCTTCCCGGCATATGTCGACAGTTTGGCTCAAATAAACTCACAAGAATTCTTTCTGTACAGGTTTCAACGGTTTTTTACGTTAACAGAACGTGTGCGGTGGCATGCAGTCTTGGGGCAGCAGAATCCAACCATTGTTCTTGGTTGTCAGGCGATGAGGTGACAGCTTGGCTCCTGGTGGGGTCAACCTGACCATGCATAGCGGTTCTGCTTGCGCGCTGGGCACAGTATACCTTGTCCGCAGCAGAATCACCTCCCCAATCACTTTGCCTGTGATCAGAGGGAGATGCAAGCGCACCGGCCTGAGAGATGAAACTTAGAAAAGAAAAAAACTTAACCCTCTATTCCTATACGCATGTGCACTTCGGGATTTCAAACTAATATGATTATATCTCAGATTAATTCAGCTGCTCTATCTATCAGACCATAAACCCCTATCACTCTGAATCCCTAGCGTGCCGCCCCCCCCCCCGGGGGGTGGGAGGGGGAGCAGCCGCTGCGGGAAGAAAGCTTCGGCGCTCTGCTTGGGAAGCGCCACAGGACCGCTGTTGGCTGCAGCAAAGCATTTTAGGAGACCTTGCTTGCTGCTCTGAGAGAGAAGATGGAAACGCCGCGGTGACAAAGCATGAATGACAAGAGCCTTTTCTCCTCGCGCTGAGCGGGGCTGGTGGACACCCCTCTCCATCACAGCCGTCTGGCCACAGCTCCTATGAACCAACCACTCAGCTGGCTGATTCTCCGAGTCCTGTCTGACAAGTGGGCTCCGGGCTTTTACAGGTGTAGGCGGTGGGGGGCGGGGGGGCAGAGGTAGCTCTGAGCCGGGGGCAGGTAGGAGGGGCACCGGTGGAAGAGGCAGCGGCCTGAGCAGAGGGGAGGCCAGCCGCACTGCGCTTGGTGAGCTGCACCCGAGGCCGAGCGCGGTGTGCGGACCAGGCAGGCGCAGGCAGAGGCAGTCCGCCTGGAGACCTGGACATTCGGGGCGCTGGCAGAGGCAGTCCGCCTGGAGACCCGGCCATTCGGGGCGCAGGCAGAGGCAGTCCGCCTGGAGACCTGGACATTCGGGGCGCAGGCAGAGGCAGTCCGCCTGGAGACCCGGCCATTCGGGGCGCAGGCAGGAGGCAGTCCGCCTGGAGACCCGGCCATTCGGGGCGCAGGCAGAGTCAGTCCGCCTGGAGACCCGGCCATTCGGGGCGCAGGCAGGAGGCAGTCCGCCTGGAGACCTGGCCATTCGTCTCCCGCCCGTGTGGCCCCTGCACTGGGCCCGGACACCAGGAGAAACAGCACAGGGTCACCCCGGGCGGGGGGAGGCATTCTAGTCACTAGAATCTAGTGAGAACAGCTAGAAAAGAAGGAGGTGAAGAGGCTTCCTTTGCGGGGGGCCAGGGGGAAGGACGAGTGGGAGTTTGCCAGGCAAAGAGGAGAAAGGCTGGTCCACGAGCAAAGATTCAAAGCCCAAGAGTGTAAGAGGGAGGGCGAGCAGGGTTCAGGGCCAGATGGTGCGGGGCTCCCCTCCCGCCCGAGGAGCCAGCGCCGCCCGGCGGCCGCGGGGGCTTGGGCAGCGCAGGGGAGCGTCCAGACGCCTCCGCGCCGCGCCCTGGGGGAGGAAGAGGCGGGAAGGCCGACGCCGCCAGCTTCCCGCGGCCATGGGCGTGGCGGGGGGAAGGGCCGCGGGGCTGGAGGGGCGGCGCCCACCGCCGCGACTCGGGGAGCAATAGGACGCGACCTGGCTGCCGGCCCAGGTTCCCCGCGAGCTGGGAGCCAGTCCCGGCCCGGCGCCTGCGGGCCACCAGCACTTGCCGGGAGGCGCGCACTGAGGAGCCAGCCCGGGCAGCTCCCACGAAGCTCCGTCCCGCGGCGAAGGGTTTATTCTACCTACAACCCCACGCGCAGTCCAAGTGCCGGCCTCGTCCCGGCGCGGGTGCTGGAGAGCCTCATCCAAAAGGGCAGCAGGCGTCAGGACGCACGGCCCAGGCTCAAAACGGACACCCGCGTCCCTGGGTGGGCTCGAACCACCAACCTTTCGGTTAACAGCCGAACGCGCTAACCGATTGCGCCACAGAGACAGGCGCAGGCGAGTCTTCCTGGCAAGTCAGTTAACCGACAGCAAGTCCTGGCGCCACGTCTCCGAACGCTCGCGGTCCAGGTGGCCTGGGAGCTCGAGGACGGTCCCGCCCGCGCTCCCCTCGGATCCGGAGGCTCAGGAAGGGGGCGTCGAGGATGGAGGGACAGGGGTCTTTGGGGAGCCAAGGTGCGTGCTCCCTGTGCTCCGGAGTTCACTGGTTCTGCTCAGAGAAGTACGTCCATAACTTTTTTGCTGATCTAGACAATTGATTAGTTCCTGTGTACATGTGCTAGTACTAACTCATAATAATCTTACTGTGAAAAATTTAAATACCAACTGCCGTAGACCAATTCCAGCATGTCATAATTTCAAGAGTTTCATCAAAAGGTTGATGAGACTTGGGGAATCAACAGGGTTGAGTCACACATGTAGTCACCTGTTGGGAATGGCTGAAGGCATTTCCCCAAACCTGAATAGGAACCTGACTGTGGCTGCCAGACAGTTAAAGGGCATCTTAATCTACATGTTATTGCCTCCTACTGGCCAAACCCCTGAACAGCCGTAGGCTATTCCCCAAACTGACAATGCTTCTGTACCCTTTGAAACCTTACCCTTTGAAGTGTATTATCTCCACTTGCCTTAGGACAAATTGTGTTAATAAAAGCAAGGGTCCTAGACAAGGAGGGAGTCTTCAGTTCCTTTAGCTGAAGGTCCTCTGACCCCCAATGCCTTTCAAAATTATAACTCGTCTCCGGACTCTTTATTAGTCTCTGGATTCCTATGTCATCTGCGCACAGCCTTTTCCAGCTTCCTGAACCCTTCTTGATGCTGGGACATGAACCCCGGCAACCAACTGTGTCCTGCAAAATACAAAACCTAAGTAAGGGAGCCTAACATCTTCCACCCAGCGGTTCTGAAAGGTTTCTGCAGGCGTGTTAGGACGGTGGTTGAATGACTTTCACAAGGTTACATCGAACCCAAATCTCAGAGGGCAAAGGCCGCTTTTCCAACATCATCAACCCAGGCTCCGGACCAGTGCCCTTCCCCTCTCCCCCAGAGGAGAGCGGCTTCTGCCCCTCTGTCCCTGGGCCATTTCAAGGCCACAGGGTTCGTGAGTCCCATCACCTCCCCGGGCGTATCTAGGCACTTGCCACACCGAGTCTTCGCTGCACTGGGCACGGGAGCGCCGTCTGTCTGTCACCCGAGTCCCAGGCCCCTCGAGGCCTCCACGCGGAGCCTCCTTCTCCCTCCTGCGCCGCCCAGTGAGATGAGCGCCTGGTCCGGGAAAGCCGAGCCTGCACGTACATCTGCTCTGACGTCTGTGGCTGACCCTGGAACGGGGGCGACTGAGCAGAGACTCCAGGGGGCCAGGGGGAGTAACAGCCGGAAGGCCGAGAGCTGCCACCCCAGAGGAGACAGGAAAATACTGGAACTGCAAAACTTCAAAAGGAGGAGAATTGTTAAAGAAATTATTATGTAGCCATAGGGTACAACACAAGGAAGTCATTTAAATAATGTTTTAGACTAATATTTAAAGAACATAGAAATATTCACATTTTAAAGTAAACACTCAAGTAGGTTTAAAAAATATACACAGTATGATTCCAATTTCTCATTTCAAAATGTCAGGAGTAAACATACAGCAAAATATTAATAAGGATTTCCTGGATAA